TCAAAAAAAAAAAAAAAAAAAGCCTCTGTTGGGGGAGTCTCTTACCTGGAATGGGACAGCTCTCCAGGAACTCTATCTGGGGGCGCTGACGGGGCAGGGAGTATCTGGGACCTATACTCGGCGTTGGGAGGTCTCTGGGTTCTCTTTTCCCTGAATGTCTCAGAGGGAGTGAACCTCTGTCCAGTGACACCCTGGAAGAAGTCGGAGGGGATGCTGTCCGATTTGGCCTGGGAGATCTCTGGGGTTTTCTCAGGGCTGGGGCTGCGGCATCTCTGCCCAGGGATAGGGTGTCTTCGGGAGTCCTTGTCCTGGGAGATCAGCGGGCAGCGCCTAGGGGGACTACTGACCACTCATGACACGCCTCCTCCAGTACCTGGTCATGGAGTACTACGTGGGCGGGGACCTGCTAACGCTGCTGAGCAAGTTTGGGGAGCGGATCCCGGCCGAGATGGCGCGCTTCTACCTGGCCGAGATAGTCATGGCCATAGACTCGGTGCACCGGCTGGGCTATGTGCACAGGTGGGCGTGGCAGCGCCTGAGGGGCGGGGCCCGGAAAGGGATAGCATACCTCGAAGGTTGGAACTCAGAGGGGACAAGGCCTAGAGAAGGACCTCCTTGGTTGGGGCCCACTGGGGTGGGGCCTGGGGTCCAGAATTGTAGAATCTCCAGGGGGCAAAACCTGAGGGGGTGGGACCCGAGATGGTGCTGCTGAGTGGCAGGGGGCGGAGCCTTGCGGGACGGTGGGAGGGATGCTCGCTTATCCTTCCTCACGCCTTCCCTCGGCGCAGGGACATCAAACCGGACAACATCCTGTTGGACCGCTGTGGCCACATCCGCCTGGCTGATTTCGGCTCCTGCCTCAAGCTGCGGGCAGATGGAACGGTGAGCGGGTGCGCCCGCCGTGGGGCAACTCGCCACCAGTGAGCGGGAGGGAGGTGCAGAGTGCGGGGCTGGGGCACAGGGGCGGAGCTGGGGTGGGAGCCGGACTGGATTTGGAGGGGGAAGGAGGAGGCGAACAGGCCTCAGTGTGCTGTGCATGGTGGGGGCAAGGTTTAGACCAGGCAGAGGGAGGGCGTCAGCATTTGGGCCGTGGTTAGAAGGGGGCCGGAGCTGGTGGGCAGGGTGCAGCCAGAGCCCAGAGGTGTAGGACCGAGCCCAGCTCTGGCCCTGTTGGCGCAGGTGCGATCGCTGGTGGCTGTGGGCACCCCAGACTACTTGTCCCCCGAGATCCTGCAGGCTGTAGGCGGCGGACCAGGGCCAGGCAGCTACGGACCAGAATGTGACTGGTGGGCGCTGGGCGTGTTCGCCTATGAAATGTTCTACGGCCAGACGCCCTTCTACGCCGACTCCACGGCCGAGACCTACGGCAAGATCGTCCACTACAAGGTGAGTGCAGTCCCAAGGAGCCCCTGAACTCTCTGTACTTGCTTCCAGCTCACGACGCCTTTCCCTCTCCCTCTGACCAGGAGCACCTGTCTCTGCCACTGGCGGACGCAGGGGTCCCTGAGGAGGCTCGAGACCTCATCCAGCGGCTGCTGTGTCCCCCGGAGACAAGGCTGGGCCGGGATGGAGCAGGCGATTTTCAGAAGCATCCTTTCTTCTTTGGCCTCGACTGGGATGGTCTCCGCGACAGCATTCCCCCCTTTACTCCAGACTTCCAGGGTGCCACTGACACATGCAATTTTGATGTGGTGGAGGACGGGCTCACTGCCATGGTGAGCGGGGGCGGGGTAGGTACCCACAGCGCCCCCTCGGCTGAGGGGCTGAGGGAACCTACCCATCCCCGCTCCATAAAGTTGGAATAATGACAGTGCCTACCTGCTGGAGTCCTGAATCATTCATTCCCCAGAGCACCTGCTGTGCCCACCCAGTGTGTGACCTAGACCTACAGTCAGTGAGGGGACACAGACAAGTCCCCAGACTGTGAGGCCCCTGAGTGATCAGGGCTGAGATGGGAGAGTGTGGGAGTTGGGGGAGCTCCTGGCCCAGTTGGGAAGGTCCTGGGGGGCTCGGGGCGGGGGTGCGTTGTGTGTCTAAGCTGAGACCTGGAGGGATGGGGGGAAGGCAGAGAGGACTCTTCCTTCCTTAGGCCACCTCTCTCTCCACTGTTTACTTAGCAAGCTGTCCTGGAATGCTTGCTCAGCTCCGGGTGCCCTTCTGCTAGGCAGTCTGGGGACACAGAACTGACCAAATCAGCCCTGGTCCCTCCCCTCATCCACTTGAAGTCTAGACAAATATATATTTTCACGTAGTGTGGCAAATGCCCTGAAGGGAGATAAAGGGATACAAGAAAAAATGACGGAGGGCCACTTTCGATAAGCCCCGAGTTGGGGTTGGTTTGGGGGGAACATGTAGGCCAAGACCAGAAAGGGGTGAGAGGCCAGCCCTGACAACTGCTGGTCACATCCGCGGGTCTCTTGTGTAGGAGACACTGTCAGACATGCAGGAAGGCGTGCCGCTGGGGGTCCACCTGCCTTTCGTGGGCTACTCCTACTCCCGCATGGCCCTCAGGTAAGCTCTGCCCTGCAAGGCCACCAGAGGCCCCGGAGGCTGCTTGGGCTTCCTGTGTTCCGGCTCGTCGTCGGACAGTGGATTTGCACCAATCAGTCTTGGGACCACGAACTCTTAGGAGCCCAGAGTTGTAGAATCTTAAAGTCTCAGACCATAGGACTTTAAAATTTTAGATTCAGTTGTAAACCTCAGAGCCACAGACTTGGCCTTCTAGAATCTTGTAGCCGTTGACTTTGACATTTCCAGTTACAGAGTCTTAGGGCCTCAGAATCTTAGAAAATAATGTTGAGAATTTTACAATCAATTTTAAAAGAACACTAACTCATTGAGTCAGTCGTATAACAATAAGGCCTTTAAGAATATTAATCATACAAATAATGTATGCTTATCACAAGTAAATTAGAAAATATGGGTCAGGAGCCATGTGTGGTGTGTGGCTCATGCTTATAATCTCAGCACTTTGGGAGGCCAAGGCAGGAGGATCACTTGAGGCCAGGAGTTTGAGACCAGGCCAGGCAACATAGCAAGACCCTGTCTCTACAAAAAGATAAAAATAGAAAAATTAGCCAGGTGTAGTGGTATACACCTGTAGTCCCAGCTACTTGGGAGGCTGAGGTGGGAGGATCGCTTAAACCCAGGAGTTCAAGATTACAGTGCGCTATCATGGTGCTACTGCACCCCAGGCCTGGGTGATAGAGTGAGACCTTGTCTTTAAAAATAAAAAAATGAAACAGAAAAGGAGGCCCATCCCCGAGCCCACTGCCCAGCAGGGGTCCCTGGCTCACACATGCGCAGACACATATTCAACAGCTGGGAGAACAGGTGGTTTTCTAATCAGCTTTTGTTACTGGACAACGTGTGACAAACACCATTCCTTACCATTAATGAACTACAACATGATTCTGAACTGCTGTGTGGTATCCTGCCTAATGGCAGGTCAGGATTTAGCTCATCCTCTGTTATGTCCCAGGCGCACGTCCAGGATAGATAGATCTTTTTTTTTTTTCAGTTTTTCTTGACTTTTTTTTTTTCAGCATATTATGGGGGTACAGATGTTTAGGTTACGTATGTTGCCCTTGCCCCCACCCTCCCCCGCTAAGTCCGAGTTTCAAATATCAGGATAGATAGATCTTTGAGACATATTCCCACAGGAAGGATTGCTGGGTCGGAGGGGACATCCTTTTCGTATTCCTAGGGAGGGTCTGTTCTCTTCCCAGTAGCTGAGCCTAAGGGGGTGTGCTAATATCTGGAGTCACGCTCTTGGGATCCCACACCTAGTCTTAAGACGACAGTTTTGGAGGGTGGCCAGAGCTGGGCAGCTCCCTCATGGGGTCCCCTTCCCTGTCCTGAGGCCTTAAGGAGAGGGGTCTGCAAAGGGAGGAGACAGCAGACCCTAGAATGGGTGTCTGGACTCCACATCTCTGCAGAAGGTTTAGAAAAGGGCAGCAGCTCCCAGGGGCCCAAGGCCATGGGAGGGGCAGGCTTTTCCTAACCAGCAGCGCGTCTCTTCACTCTGCCCCTCCCCCTCCCCCAACCAGGGGGTCTTCAGGGCCAGCTGCCTCTTGCCCACATGCTAGTCAGTCCTGGTTCTCAACCTGGAGATGGCAGCCTCTCTCCCTCCCCGTGTCCTCTTCTTCTCCCCAGGGACAGGGAGGTCCTCCCAGGCCCCACACCCATGGAACTGGAGGCCGAGCAGTTGCCTGAGCCACATGTGCAAGCGCCCAGCCTGGAACCCACGGTGTCCCCACCAGAGGAAACAGTAAGTTGCTGGAGGAGAAGGTCGCTCAGGGATGAAGGGAAAGTGAGGGCTTCCAGGCTGGCACGTGCCATTGCCCTCTGGGAGCTTACTGGACAGAAGCGGACAGAAAACCTGTAGAGATGAGGTTACAGCAGTTGGAAGACAGTCCCTAGGAAGAAATGGCAGCAGGGCATTCAGCATGTGGGTGCACGTGTGGGGGGGGCCCCCTCTGAAGAGTTCATCTTTGAGCTGAGCCCTGGCGAAGGAGGAGGAGCCAACCATGGAAAGAACAGTGCCAACCGGTCAGCAGAGAGAACCTCAAGGGCCAAAGCCCTGGTGGGAACACCGGGTAGTTCTCGAAAGTGACAGGAGGGTAGTATGGCTGAATTGTTACATGGGAAGGGGAGGGGAGGGGAGACAAGCTATGTCCCGAGGGCACTAGGGGGCTGGCCGGATTTTGAGCAGTGGAGGGACATGGTCAAGTTGAGTTAGTGTTTTAGGACAAGCCCTTTGGTTCCTGTGCGGATAGCAGAGGACCAGACTAAAGGCTGGAGACCACGGAGGGGGCTTGGATCATTGCAGGAGCTATGGGGATTCCAGAAATTACAGGGGGGCGGGGAGTAGAGGACAAGCGAGGATCCCAGGCCTGGCTCCCGAATCCTGTGGGAGCCACAGGCAGCCCTAAGCTCGGTCCTCGTACACAGGCTGAAGTGGCAGTTCCAGAAGCTATCCCGGAAGCAGAGGCTGAGGCGGAGGTAACGCTGCGGGAGCTCCAGGAGGCCCTGGAGGAGGAGGTGCTCACTCGGCAGAGCCTGAGCCGGGAGTTGGAGGCCATCCGCACGGCCAACCAGAACTTCGCCAGGTCGGGGTCGGGGTCGGGGCGCCGGGGCCCTTGGCAACCCTTTGCTGCCCCTCTCGCCGGGACTCAGAGGGGCTAACCGTGCTTACCTCCCTGCAGTCAACTACGCGAAGCCGAGGCCCGGAACCGTGACCTGGAGGCACACGTCCGGCAGTTGCAGGAGCGGATGGAGTTGCTTCAGGCCCAGGGAGCCGCAGGCGAGTCCCTCTTCCGCCCCCGTCCCGGAGGGCGCCAGGAGGAGGTGGGCCGGCTGTTCGGCGGGGGTGTGAACACCTGGGGAGGGGAGGGGCCCAGGCTGGGGCACGCCGCGCCACCGCCCTCCTCCGCCCCTCCACGCGCCCTACGCCTCTCTCTTCTCCTTCCAGCTGTCACGGGGGTCCCCAGTCCCCGGGCCACGGATCCACCTTCCCATGTAAGACCCCTCTCTTTCCCCGGCCTCAGGGCCTGCTGCCCCCTCTGCAGATCCCCTTCCCGTCTCCCCGTCCGTATTTAGGGCTCACCCTACCTCTTTGCGGCTCCAGAGGGCAGAAGCCCTTCATTCAGCCCCAGATCTCCCTCCGTCGAGGTCTCACCACATCCCTTCCGGGATCTCCCTAGATGCCCTTCCCGGCCTCGACTCCCCTCACTGTCTCTCGCGCCCTGCCGAGGGCTGGGCTGGGCTCCGATCGGGTCACCTGTCCCTTCTTTCTCCAGCTAGATGGCCCCACGGCCGTGGCTCTGGGGCAGTGCCCGCTGGTGGGGCCAGGCCCCATGCACCGCCGCCACCTGCTGTTCCCTGCCAGGGTACGTCCGGCTGCCCACGCACGCCCGCTCGCCCGCCGCGCCCTCGCCTCGCTCCACCCACCCCGCGCCATCACTGCTTTGGGGCAGCTATGTCGGGCTCCGCCCACAGCGGGGAGGGAGAAAGCTCGGGCAGCCAATCAACAGAGGCCGCTAGGAAGCAGCCAATGGCGAGTTCGTACGGGATTTGAGGCTTGCGAGCAAACCAACCACAGCTGCCGGCTGCAGGGGACCGGGGGCGGGGTGCAGGGAGGATTGTGGATCCACTTTTGGGTGTAGGCGGGGCGAATCCTAGAGCCAATCAGAGGCCCATGTCGCCGGGTGCTGATCCCACCCTCTCGCCCGCAGGTCCCTAGGCCTGGCCTATCGGAGGCGCTTTCCCTGCTCCTGTTCGCCGCTGCTCTGGCTCTTGCCGCCGCCTTGGGCTGCGCTGGGTTGGTGGCCTACGCCGGCTATCTGTCCCCGCCCTGGCGCTGCCCGGGAGTCGCCTTCGCCCCCTGAACCCTAGAGCCCCAGACTGACTTCCACTCGGGGCCCGTTGCAGGGTTGGGTGGCCCGGACACTACACAGAAGCTGCTCCCAACGCACCCCCGTTCACTCCCGCGTGCGTGGGTCTTCGCCCCAGCTCCCGTCCCATGATCCGGGCCCGCCCCCTGGCGGCCGGGGAGGGAGGAGTCGGGCCCGCGGCCGGCGAATGGGGCTCCTGGGGGCTTTGTAGCCGGGAATGTCGCTGCTGCTGCTGCTGCTGCTGCTGCTGCTGCTGCTGCAGGGTGGGATCGCAGACCACTTCTTCCCTCCGGCAGGGCTGAGGCCCCGACGTGGATGAGTAAACTGCGGTCCTGAGCAGGCAGCAGGCCGGGCTTGGCCATCCATTTTTCACCTTCCACGCACTCCCACCCGCCGTTAGTTGGCAAATCCTCTTTGTGCATGCGGCCCTGCTCGCCTGGGAACGTTTTATTTCCGTGGCGAACGTTCGGCGCAACCTCTGCCCGCTTTCTTTTGCCAGCCCCGCTTTTTCGGGGACTCCCGCGCTCCCTGCTCACATGCGCTACTCGGAGCCACAGCCGGCTCCGCCCGCCTCGGAGGTTTGGATATTTATTGATCTTGTCTTGTCCTCGGACTCGCTGACAGGCTCCAGGACCCCAACACCCCAATCCACGTTTTGGATGCAGTGAGACCCCCGACATTCCTCGGTATTTATTGTCTCTCCCCACCTAGGACCCCACGCCCGACCCTCGCGAATAAAAGGCCCTCCTGTCTGCCTAAAGCTCCGGGCTCCGCGGTGTCCGTTCTGTTTGCGTTGTGGGCGGGAGGCTGCTCACTGGCCAATCAGAAGGCGAGTGGAGGAGGCCAACGGCCTGGCGGGGAGCTCGCGGGACTCAAGGCTGACGAATCAGGGATGGGGAGAGGGAAAACCGAGGGGCGGGGTTTCGGCGTCCGGCCACCCCGGAGGCACCGCCCCCCTGCCCAGCTGTGGCCCAGCTGTGCCACCGCGCGTGGAGAAGAAGGGGGCTGGGCCGGCGGCGCGCGGGGCCACTGTCTTCCCACTGCGCCTGCGCAAGCCACGCGCATCCGCTCCAGGAACGTAGGCTCAGAAAAGTTGTTGCAAACTTTCTAGCTCGCTTTCCCCGCCCCTCCTCCCGGCCAGACCCGCCCCCCTGCGGAGCCGGGAATTCCGAGGGGCGGAGCGCAGGCCGAGATGGGGAATGGTGGGGGGGGCCGCAAAAGACCCGGGAGACGGAGGCGTGCAGGAGCTCAGTCCCGGGGTGGAGGTGGCTTCGCGCCCTTAGCCCTCCTGGACGGCCCGTTACCTTCTCCGTTGTCCCGATGGGGAAACTGAGGCCCTGAGCCTGAGGCACACGCGGGGGGAGGCAGAAAGCGCGGCCAGAGGCGGAGGGAAAACAAAGGGAGAATCACGGACACGACGAGGAGGGGGACGGACACACAGGGACAGAGACCCGAGTGGAGAGCTGAGTCTCGCATTCGGGGCGGGGAAAGGCCGCAGGGTCTGCCAGGGGAGACAATCGGGAAGCTCGGGGGTGGGGGCGAAGAGGGGGGACAGGCGGGGGAAGGGGCTGGGGAAAGCCCGAGGGAGGAGGAGAAGGAGGGAGGAACTTCCCAAAGTTGCAAAACATGGCTACCTTGCCTGCGGAGCCGAGCGCGGGGCCGGCGGTCGGGGGGGAGGCGGTGGCGGCGGCGGCGACCGAAGAGGAGGAGGAGGAAGCGCGCCAGCTACTGCAGACTTTGCAGGCGGCCGAGGGTGAGGCGGCGGCGGCGGCCGGGGCGGGCGAAGCGGCGGCGGGAGCGGAGGGCCCGGGGTCCCCGGGCGTCCCCGAGTCGTCCCCCGAGGCCACTGCCGAGCCGCCCACCGGCCTCCGCTTCTCGCCCGAGCAGGTGGCGTGCGTTTGCGAGGCGCTGCTACAGGCGGGCCACGCCGGCCGCTTGAGCCGCTTCCTGGGCGCACTGCCCCCAGCCGAGCGCCTACGTGGCAGCGACCCGGTGCTGCGCGCGCGGGCCCTGGTGGCCTTCCAGCGGGGCGAGTACGCTGAGCTCTACCGGCTACTCGAGAGCCGCCCCTTCCCCGCCGCCCACCACGCCTTCCTGCAGGACCTCTACCTGCGCGCGCGCTACCACGAGGCCGAGCGGGCCCGTGGCCGTGCGCTGGGCGCAGTGGACAAGTACCGCCTCCGCAAGAAGTTCCCGCTGCCCAAGACCATCTGGGACGGCGAGGAGACGGTCTACTGCTTCAAGGAGCGCTCCCGCGCCGCGCTCAAGGCCTGCTACCGCGGCAACCGCTACCCCACGCCGGACGAGAAGCGCCGCCTGGCCACGCTCACCGGCCTCTCGCTCACGCAGGTCAGCAACTGGTTCAAGAACCGGCGACAGCGCGACAGGACCGGGGCCGGCGGCGGCGCTCCCTGCAAGAGGTGAGGGGACTCGTGCGGGGCAAGTCTGGCTTTCCCGGGGACAGTCTATCTACCAGCCCTCTTCCCCGGTGCCTACTGCTGGGGTCAGCGCGCCGAATTCCTCGGACACCTCCCGCCCACACCTTCAAGGCGTCTGCGGAGCGCAGGAACTAGGCGAGGATGGGACACACACACGCCTGGGCCCCCTCTCCTGGCGTCACTGCTCCGCACGCGGAGGCTCAGAGACCTCTTCGCGCTGTTCCATCCAAGCTCCAGTCCGTGTTCCAGACTTCACTGGGGGGAGGCAGTGAGAAAATGAGGGGCTCTATGGGGGCTGCGGAGAAGCGGGAGGGGCCTTTGCCCACCCCAGCCTATGTAGGGGTTCCTTTCAGGCCCCCTTTGCAGCCTGGCCCTCCCCTGACCGTTACTCTTCCCCACCCACCCCCACACCCCCCAGGGCCCAAACAGCGTGGCCTGTCGTCCGTCTTTGTTGTGAAACGTGAGCCCTCCCCAGCTCCGGTTTCCCTGTAACCCAAGCCCTTCCCCTCCCACCCTGTGGGCCCGGCCTCTCACTCCCTTCTCTGACGCCCCGCGGGGAGGGCACAGGGAGCTGAGTCGGCGCCTGCTCACTCCGGGACACTGGCGGGCTTGCGTGCTCTCTGCCTACCCCAGGAAGCTTCAGGGCAGCCTGGGTGCTCTGCCTCTGGGGCACCGTGGCCAAGGCAGTGGGAAAGCAGGGCCTCTTCCCTCCCCATCCCGTCCGGCTTTAGCTTTTCTGCCATGGCGTCAATGCAGGGCTTGCAGAAGGCCCTGGGGTCTTGGGATGGTCTCACAGAGGTTTCGTGACCCCAGAAATGGTCCACAGAAGCTTGGGCTGGGGAAAGGTGGGGAGGCAGTGGGCAGCCCGTGCTCCTGCAGAGCAGCTTGCACCTGGCTCTGTGCAGGAGCCCAGCTGGCTAAGGGCCCACAACTTACAGTCATTTCTCCCGACAGCGAGTCTGATGGGAATCCCACTACTGAGGACGAGTCCAGCCGAAGTCCCGAGGACCTGGAGAGAGGGGTGGCCCCAGTGTCTGTGGAGGCCACTGCCCAGGGCTCCATATTCTTGGCAGGAGCCACCCCTCCTTCACCGTGCCCCGCCTCCTCCTCCATCCTGGTGAATGGGAGCTTCCTGGCGGCCAGCAGCTCTCCAGCCGTGCTCCTCAATGGCAGCCCTGTCATCATCAACAGCCTGGCCCTGGGCGAGGCCTCCAGCCTGGGCCCTTTGCTGCTCACAGGGGGCGGTGCTGCTCCTCCTGCGCAGCCTAGTCCCCAGGGGGCCAGCGAGGCCAAGACCTCCCTGGTCCTGGACCCTCAGACTGGGGAGGTTCGGCTGGAGGAGGCTCAGCCTGAGGCCTCTGAGACCAAGGGGGCCCAGGTCACTGCTTCAGGACCAGCCGGAGAGGAGGTCCCAGGAACCCTGCCCCAAGTGGTGCCTGGCCCCCCGCCAGCTGCCACCTTTCCTCTGACCCCAGGACCAGTGCCTGCTGTGGCTGCTCCACAAGTGGTGCCAATCTCCCCACCCCCTGGGTACCCAACGGGCCTGGGCCCCACCTCCCCGCTGTTGAACTTGCCCCAGGTCGTGCCCACCTCCCAGGTGGTGACGCTGCCCCAGGCTGTGGGGCCACTGCAGCTGTTGGCAGCTGGGCCAGGCAGCCCTGTGAAGGTGGCAGCTGCAGCAGGCCCTGCCAACGTGCACCTGATAAACTCTGGGGTGGGCGTGACGGCCCTGCAGCTGCCTTCGGCCACTGCTCCAGGTACCCACTTCTGCCTCTCTCAGGCCTGGGTGAGAGCTGGGAGAGGGGATTGCAGTACTCAGGGAGGGAGGGGGCTGTCAGTGGGCTTCGGGGGGCATGTCACCTCTGGCAAGTCCCAGTGCCCTTCTGTGCCAGGGCTAGTGTCCTGGCTGCAGCCACACGGGCTTGGCTCTGCCTGGAAGGGGCTTGGCCACCTGCTGCCCGGTAGCATCTCTCCCTCTGTTCTGCCAGCTGCTTCTGGCTCTAACCTTATGCTTGGCCCGTTTCTTCTCCCCACAGGAAACTTCCTCCTGGCCAACCCTGTGTCTGGCAGCCCAATCGTGACGGGCGTGGCTGTGCAGCAGGGCAAGATCATTCTCACCGCCACCTTCCCTACCAGCATGCTGGTCTCCCAGGTCCTGCCTCCAGCCCCCAGCCTGGCCCTGCCCCTGAAGCCAGAGACGGCCATCTCAGTGCCTGAAGGAGCCCTCCCGGTGGCCCCCAGCCCTGCTCTCCCGGAGGCGCATGCCCTGGGCACCATTTCTGTGCAGCAGCCACCACCCACCCCTGCCGCCGCCTCTGGTGCCAGCCTGCCCTTCTCCCCAGATTCCCCTGGCCTCCTGCCCAGCTTCCCAGCACCCCCACCAGAGGGGCTGATGCTGTCACCTGCGGCTGTACCCATCTGGCCAGCAGGGCTGGAACTGAGCACGGGAACAGAGGGGCTGTTAGAAGCCGAAAAGGGGCTGGAGACACAGGCTCCCCACACCGTGCTGAGGCTGCAGGACCCTGACCCTGAGGGGCTGCTCCTGGGGGCCACGGCAGGGGCTGAGGTTGATGAGGGGCTAGAAGCTGAGACCAAGGTCCTGACCCAGCTACAGTCGGTGCCTGTGGAAGAACCCTTGGAACTGTGACCCAGCCTGGCCCAGTTGCTCTCCTGACAATGGTGCTCAAGATGCGGGGACCGCACCTGGGAGGAGGGAACCTCTCAGAAACGGTTGCTGCAGTCTGAAGATTCCACACACACTACGTCCTTTAGGCCCAGTTAACCTCTCCAGGCCCTGGAGGTGCCTGGGGGACTTGCCCCTGTCCACTCCCTGTCCAGGGCACCGTCCCTCTCTGGACGGGGGGCTTCCTCTGTTACAGCCCTCTCCTTGCTCCGCCCTGCCATATATCTGGGGCGATCTGGGACGTCCTGACCCAGGACTCTACCCCCTCCACCTGGTGCTGGCTGTGAGCTGAAAACCCGGCCAGATGGCTGGCTTTCCAGCCCCCACGATCCCTCTCCCTGTCACTCCCTGAAACACTATTAATAGCTCCACTGATATCCAGTGTTCTCACAACTGCTTGGAATCCGAGGATGGGGGACAGGCAGTGCCCCGAGACTGACAGACCCTCCCCTAGCCCGGCCCTTCCTGCTGAAAAGGGATGCCCGGTGCGGGCAGGGCGGGGGCCTGCTCCACTAGCTCCCCCAGACGAAAGCCCTCGTTATCACGTCCAGCCCCAGACCAAAGAGTCCCTCATCCCTGGGGGCAAGCCTGACCCCCGTGTCCAGTTTGTATCCTAAATCTTTATTTTTCTAGAACATGTTATGCCTCCATTTCAATTAAAGTTACCAGACAACAGAACTACTGGGGGTGTGGGTTTCCTTCCAAATGACTTGCCCAAAGAAAACCTGAATGACAGAAAGCCACACTTGAGACTGTGGCTTTCTGATCGCTGCTTCCTGAAGGGGGGAGAGGGTTTGTGTTCGGATGTGCGGTGGGGCTTGGAGGGTGTGGGCAGTGAGGTTACTTTCACGCCGCAGGCCTCTGGATTTGGGTAGAAGGGGTACCCTAGAGGAGGGGGGGCAAGGAGATGCAGGAGAGCCTCCCCTTGTCACCCTTGCTAGTGACAAGGGTTGCGCTTGCTTTATTTTGTTTAAAACAATAAATAATTCATAAATAGAACAGGGGAGAGGGGAGTGGGGAGAGGTGAGAATGAAAAGGGTTGAAACCATTTGGTTCTGGGGTAGGGAAAGGAAGGGCAGAGGGCAGCCCCTGCCTGTAAACTTTACCCCCTTGCATTTCATTTAAGGTTTCCTCCCTCCCGCCCTGAGGGTCCTCTGGTGGGCCACAGGGTACAAGCGCTGTGAAGGGCAGCTCTGACCGAGCAAGGCAGCAGCAGGAGCAGTAACTACGCCCCTCTGCAGGCCCTGTGGGAACTGGCCACGGAGACCTGCATCACCGTCGCCAGGCTCAATGCCCAGGAAGGGACAAGCTCTCCTGGCTTCAAGCAAGAGCTGCAAGGCAGGAGAGCGAGGGGGTTACCCTCTCTCACCCGTGGAGAGGGGGTGGCACTGAGGCCGCGTCTGAGGCACAGCGAGCCTTCTCAGCCAGCAGCTGGTAGAAGGGCTTGGGCGTCTCCCAGTCGTCCTCGTCGCTGCTGGAGTTGTCCTGCTTCACGATGCGGTTGTGCTGGCGGCTGAATCTTCGAGCCTTGATGCTGCAGGGAGACGGTGGCAGGATGACCAGGGGTTCCTCACTCACCTCCTGGGCATCTCTGTCCCACCCCTAATCCTCTGGCCCCTGAAGTGACCAGAGCCTGGCTGAGAGGGAGGCCAGAGTTTTAACCCTACTGGGCACACCTCTGGGTCTCCAAGTCCCGGTCTGTGAGACGGGACTCTGCCAAGGCTCTTTGCAGGAGTCCCACGCTCCTTTGAGGATCTCTTAAAAATTGTGCACAGACATGAGTGTTTCAGGGGCCAATTCAGAAACAGGCAGATGGCAGCGCTTCAAAGTTGGTGGAAAGGACAAGGTTTCAGGAAGGGGGGTCGAAGAAGAGGGGGGAAGAAGGAGACCAAGTGACAGGAAAATAAAACCATGTTCTGAGAAACTCCACGTGGCCGAGACGGCAAAAGCAACTGAGGCAGCAGGGCCCAAGCCCCCACTTAGGCTATTCGCCCTGCTTAGCTCCCTCTCCGCTAATGAAAATTGGCGGCACACAAGTTACCCAGCCCAGTCAACTCCCAACCTGTTCCCAATACCATGAAGCTGAAGGCTCTGCAGACCGGAGCAGGGTTAGGATCAGGGAGGCCCCTCTACCCACCACCAGGCCTCCTGCCAGGGGCTTCTCACCAGTACGGTCTCCGCTCCTGCTGGGTCATCACCCGCCACAGCTGGGCCAGCTCCTTGGTGGCAGCCGTGGATGCGGTCCCAGGGCAGGCTCTGGGACAGGAAGAAGGAGGACGTGGGGGAGGTAAGGAGGAGCCTGCAGGGCACCTTGACTTGGGCAGAGGCCATCGCTAAGGCCACACGAGGGTCCCTTGCCCTCTCAGAGCCTCAGTTTTCCCATCTGAAAACTCAGATCTTTCCTATCCCTTTGGCCTGCGAGGCCCCCATTACGCACCCTCTGGAGCCGAGGAGTCAAAGAAGGGAGATGGATTAAACGGTTGTTCTCAAGGGGGCACCCGGTGTCCCAGGAGAGTATAGGGGACCTGTAGCCACTGCTCCTGGCACGAGCACCTGGATCTCCCTGTAAAGGAACCAGCTCTCTTCCACTGCAGCTGAGGAGCCTCCCCCTCTCCTGGCTTCAGGCCTGACAACGACTGGTTCAGGGTTGGGCACCTGATCTGTCAAAGTTACTTAGACTCAGGACTTTTGCTTGAACCCTTAGAGGTAGGAGCTCTCCTCCCACCAAAGTTGCTAGGGTGGCAGAAAGGACACAAACATGTACCTCCTGGGTGCCTCCAACATAGGCCAGCATGCTGGAGAATGAAGGACAGAGGAATTGAGAGACAGGGACAAAAATTCCGGACAGCGTTGTTTGAGCCCTCAAACCAACCACATGTGAAGGCAATCTGTCCCTGTCCTTTTTTATAGGTTATAATAAGCCAATTCATTTCCTTTTCTTAAGTCTGAAATCATTACTTACAACCGATAGGCCCTGACCAACGTGAGGGGTCCAGGTTAAATTCTGGGGGAGAATTTAATGGGCTCCAGGAATGGGCAGATGTGTCAGATGGCAGTGGGGAGCCACATGGTGTAGGGGGGTGAGCAGACAGTGAAGGGAGGACCCCCCACCCACCGGATGTATTGCTTCCGGTTCATCCTGCAGAACATGATGAAGCCATTGACACACTTTTTCTTCATCTGGGTGGGGCAAGGGGCTTTCTTGCTCTCCTTGGGCTTCACGGGGTCCCTGCCTGCTCGGCCCTTCCTGGCCTTTCTCCCGGCTGCGGGCAGGGTTGAGGCCCGCCGGCTGGGGGTCCACGTATGGTCTCCGTCCTCGTCACTGGAGGTCTGCAAGCCCTCGGGGTTAGCTCGCATGTCCTGGGTGGGGGAGACGGGGGATGAGAGAGGGCAAGAGACGTCTGACTGGCTTTGGCAGACGGCCACCTCACTCACCTCTTGCTGCATCAATGTGGACTCTGTGTCGCTGTCATCGGAGCTAGGGCTGGATGGCGCCTTGCTGTTCTCACTCAGGGAAAGGTAGCAGTGGTCCAGCGAGACCAAGGGCTGGCACAGGCTGTGGGAGTCAGGAAGGTCTTCTGGAGCTTCAGAGGGTACATCCTGGGCCACGAGGAAGGAGAAAGATGGGAGGGGGGATGGGCAGTGCCCTTTCACCGCCCCCTCATCCCTATCGCTGCTTTTCTAGGATGTGAACATTAGAAGCAGCTCGGATTAAAGACGTTCTCTCAACACCCCTTAGACAAGCAAATGTTCCAGAGTTCCCGCAGGGGTCAGAGAAGGGCCTCACTGGGCTTGGGGCACCTGCCTCCTCTGGGGCAATACCTTTTTAAGCTCCCCCAGTTTGCTACACGCTCAGTAGCTGTGATGCCCTGGGCAGGTCTTAACTTCCCCGAGTGTGGGTTTCATCTACAAAATCCTGGTCACAATACGTGCCTCGTGGGGTTGAGAAGCACTTCGCATAGTGCCTGGCACTGACTAAGAGCTCTGCTATTGGTGTCTGTTTTTGTTTCTGCTGCCAGTTCAGCTACTCATTGAGGCGACCATGGAGGAAGAATCAGTTGGGGACTAGAGCTGGGGGGCTGAGTCTCCGTCAGACAGGGACCTCCTGGAGCAGACGGTGGCTACAGAGCTTAGCCCAGAGGCCTGGGAGGGGGCAGTCCTGGGTTTTGGTCTCTATTCCAACTGAGGATTCTTGAGATCACTTCTGATTTCTGGTTCCTCATCTGTAAAATGGGGCCACAAGAGACCCTGCTTCATAGAGTAGCTGTAAAATTATGTGGGGTCTTGTAGGGGCACCAGCAGCTTTCAGCTTTTAATGTTTTCTGTTTCGTTCGTTCCAAGCGCCCAGCACAGTGAGTGCTCAGAGGCTGGGTGGATGAGCGCACGGTGGGTGGGTAAGCTCTTGTAAGGATGAGAAGCAGGAGTGGATGGACAGGTGAGTGGGCGGGTGGGAGGCCGCTGCAAGGGACAGGGGAGGGACGAGTGAATCCGGCTGTGAATAAGGTGTGTGGAAAATGGACGATTAGTCCGTGGTCAGACAGATGGACGATACCTACCTTCTTCTGGGACACCTCGGGCATGCAGGCGGAAGCTGGAGACTCAGGATCCAAGTACACTTCCTCAAAGAGAGCTGCCGGGAAGGGAGGACGGAGGGGTTGCCAGAGCAAACATGCTTCTCTCACAGCGCCGTGCCTCAGCCCTGCTGTCCCCACGAGCTGGCGTCTCCTCGGGCTTTCTCTGTTGGGATCTGCAACCCTCTGCCCAAACCCAGCTCACAGGTCTGCTCCGCTGGGCACCTCCAACCCTGAGGCAGAGCAAGGGGCTCCCTGCTAGGGGCTCCTGGAGCCTTCCACTCACCACACTGGCCTGTGGTTGTTCCCTCGCTAGGCTGTGGGCTCCTCGAGGCAGGGCCTGGGTGGGATTCACCTCTTGGTACCCAGCGTGGCCCGGCACAGGCTGAAGCACACGGTGGCATCACCATGTGTCTCCTGAACGGCCTAGGCGGCAGGCCCAGCCCTGAATGCTCACCTTCAGTCAGATACTCAGCGCCATCCTCCAAGATCTGTTCCGGCAGCAGTTTGCCTGGGGAGCTGAAGATGGAAGGGCTGAGTCCTAGGAACTCAATCGGGTTGCTGGTCACACTCCAGGTATCGGTCTGGGGAGGCTCCAAGGCCAGTGGGCTCCCTGAAAAGAACACATCAGCCCAGAGATTGCCCTCTGCCCCAACACAGCAGCCGGCTTTGAGGACATGGTGCCAGACACTGGGGAAAGGGGACTGTGACAATTTCTCATTTTGAGTTGTTGGTAGAGGCAATTAAGAGGTACAACGCTTGGCATTATGTCAGGGATGGCAAAAAAAAAAAAAATCAATATTATAATGTGCCAGATCTGATAGACTGACTGTAGCTACCTGTAGCTCTGTGTTAAGAAAGATTCTGAGGCAGTGTCTGGCCTCAAAGGAAAGAGTGACAATCAATTAGCAATGTCTGCCATGGCAACCAATAGCAGAGAGACAGCAGGCACACTGTGTGTTTGCCTTCCCTGTGCTTAGTGAACCTCCATTCCCTTTCCCACTCTCCCCCCTTCCATGGAAATCCTCAGAATGAAAGCACAAGAAGGCCCCCACAGCAGCCTACAAGAAGAGACAAGTTTTCAGTCACC